AAAAAAAAAAAAAAAAAAAAGAAAAGAAAAGAAAATAATAATATTTGTGTATACTAGGTTAAGTAAAATATATTATAAAACTAAAAATAATAACCTTCTGGTGGATTAAAAAGTATAGATGCAATAAGCATAACCACAAAAATATTACCCAAAAAATTGACTATTTTTGTTAACTCAGGATAGGATAGGTAAGACCTTCCTGGATAAGATTTAAAATCCAAATTTTATAAAGGAAAAGGTTAACAAGATTGTCTACATACAAGGTAAAATTTCTATGAGACAAAAAGTAACTTAGAAAGTAAAAATACAAACTGGAATAAAGTAGAAGATAGGCAAACTTTCTGTAAAGGATTGAATAGTAAATATTTTTCTTTGCAGAACACATGTGCTCTGTCCCAGTTACTCAACCCTGTCTTTTTTTTTTTTTTGAGTCGGAGTCTCACTCTGTCGCCCAGACTGGAGTGTAGTGACATGCTCCCGGCCACTGCAGCCTCAACCTGTTGGGCTCTGGCGATCCTTCCACCTCAGCCTTCCGAGTAGCTGGAACTACAGACACGTGCTACCACGCCTGGCTAATTTTTGATTTAATGTAGAGACGAGGTCTTGCCAAGTTTCCTGTGCTCATCTTGAACCTGCGGGTTCAGGCAATTCACTCGCCTCAGCCTCCCAAAGTGCTGAGATCACAGGCTAAGCCACCAAGTCTGGCCTAACTCTGCCATTTTAATGTGAAAACACTCATAGGAATAGGTAAACAAGTGAGTATGGTTGTGTTCCAATAAAACTTTATTTGCAAAAATAAGCCATTTCCTGGTACGAAGTATTTGCAATATACAAAGTATTTGCAATATACAAGGAGATAAAAGGTAAGTATGTAAAACATATGAAAAGTTCCCATAGTGCAGTAAGAAAAATAAAAATAGCTCACTAGAGGAAAAGAAAACGAAAAATAAGAACAGAAAATTCACAGAAGAAATAAGAATGGCCAGTATATAGAAAAAAAAATGCTCGCCTCATGAATGCAAACAAAAATAACAGTGATTACATCAAAACAAAATTTAAAAATAACAATGAGATCATTTTACACCCACCCAAATGGCAAATACTTCAGTGTTGATAAAACGCACTGCAGGGAAGGATGAGGGTAAGCAGACACATACACTGTGGGAAGAGTCTAAATTGGTACCACCTGGCACATCTATCAGCAATCACAATGTACACATCCTACCCAAATACGTGTGATTACCTAATTCTCATAAAGGCACCACTGCAATTCAGTGGAGAAAGGATGGACTTCTCAATCAAAGGTGATGGAACCACTGACCATTCTTTCAAAATAAAATAAATCTTGACCCCAACCACCCACCATACACAAAATTATTTGAGACGGAATATAGACCTAAATGTGAAAGATTTAAAAAGAAAGCTTCTAAAAGAAAGTACCAGAAGATATTTTCATGACCTTGGGTTTGGGAAACGATTTCTTCAACTGGGCACCAAAAGCAGTGTTAAAAAATGATGGACAAACTGGCTTCATTACAACTATGAGTTTCTGTCCTTCGAAAGAGAGTGAAAAAGTAATTCTTTTTCATTTCTTTGAATATTCCATTGAGCAACTGTCCTACTATTTGTTTATCCATTCTACTGAGTATTTGGGTGTTTTGCCTCTTATGACTCATAAATATCCTTGTACATGTCTTTGGGTGGCTATAAGCCATCCTTTCTTTTGGGCAAATGCCCAGGAGTGCTGCTGTGAGACAGAGGTAGGACTTGACCCTGAAGGCCAGGCTGGAGCTCCTGCTTTTAAGTCCTACACATACTGCAGTGGTGAGGGTGCCTCTGTCAGGAACGTTCTCTCCACTCCCCATCTCCCCATCCCTCCCCCAATCCCTGCTCCCCACCTCCCTCCCACTCCCCACCTGGAGTGTAGTGGCATGCTCCCCACCTGGAGACATTTTTCTTGGCCTTCAGGTTCAGCTCAAGGTCACATCCTCTGAGATGGAGAAGCCCTCTCCTCTCCAGTCCCCACCCAGGCTGGTCTCATACCTCCTCTGCACCACCAGACCCGACTTCCCCACAGTCCAGAGCAACCTAAGCCCTAACTGTCCACACACCTGGATCCCCTGCTGGATGGCGAACTGAGGGCGGAGGCCAAGAGGTAGGGGCCTCACAGCCCAGGGCCCAGCACAGGTCCTAGCTCCTGAAGTGGTTGTGTTTGTGCCATGACACAGTGCTGGCAGAAGGCTGGATGCTTGGTGGAGCCTTGCTGTGTGGCCCTGAGCAAGTCCCTTCCAAAGCTCTCTGGAACTCAGTCCCAGTCTGCACAGTGACGGACTGGGCTGAGGCGCTCTGAGGCCGCACTTGCAACCGGCAGTGTTACCTCCAAAGAAGAGCCCTTCTCTGCCATGCCTACCAAGCTCTGGGCCCTCCATCCCACAGAGCCTAGCTTGCCAGGGGCTGGAGGTGTTTTGAGAGGCCTTTGGACAACAGGCTTGGCCAGGGAGAGCAGGCAAAGGGGACACTGTGGAATTCACACATGCCTGTGCCCTTTGCCCCTGCCCAGGACCCTGTCTGGCTCCCAGGTCCACACCTTGAATCTCCTTAAATCCCAGCTCTCTGACCCCAGAAGAGATCCTGCTGGCCCTTTGTGAGCCCTGGGTACCAACTTCTCTGCTTCCTGCCCTGGACGGGTCTTTTGAGTTAAGGTCTAAACCTACCTCCCTTTATGATTATTGCAGGCCTGGGATGACCTGGGCCTCGCTCCCCACCCAGACCTGAACTTTCCTGACCTCCTTCTCCAGGCAATGCAAGCCATCCCCCAGCCCAGTGGGGTGTGCACATTAATACCACCTGTCCCAGGAAATGAAACCCCGAGCCACCGAGGGGAGGGATACAGGTCACCCAACATCTCTCCCTCAGGGGTGTCCTGCTCATGTGACACATCCCAGGGCAGGGGTGGGGTGGACTGGATAGCGATCCTCTCTCTGACACTCTAGCCCAAGCATATCCAGGGCATCCGCCCGCCACCTGCCACCACAGCTGAGACAGAGTGGAGCTCCCTCATAAGGGGAGGGCCGCAGGGAAGGAGACACCTAGGAAGCTGGGTGCAAAATCTCCAATTTGCCCAGCCTGCAACTGTGGTCCTCGTCTCAGCCTGCCTCTGGGTGGAAATGCACTCACTTATTCGCTCATTCCTTCATTCCTCCAAGAACTAGCTGGGGAGCGACTGTGCCCAACCCCGTTCTAGGCTCTGGGGAAAGAGTCATGGCCCAGATGGCCCTGCCGTTGTGGAGAACTTACATTTGAGTGGCCTCGGAAGACCAAGAGACACCCAGCAACTGAGCAAATAAACTGACAAGTGCGGTTAATTCAGAAACAGGCGAGCCAAGAAGAAAACCCAGCTGGATTGTGCAATAGTGTGTTTGGGCTGGGATAGCGAGAGAGGGGTGAGGGAGGGGTGAGGGAGGGCTTCCAGGAGGTGATGGGTGGGCTGAGCCTGGATGATGAGGATAAAAAAGAGTAAGCCACATGGGACAGAGGAGTGGGTTATGTCTTGGACCCTGAATCCCCAAGGCTGAGAGCTCATGCCTGCTTTTTTTTTTTTTTTTCTTTAAAACAGGGTCTTAGCCGGGCTTGGTGGCTCAGCCTGTAATCCTGCGCTTTGGGAGACTGAGGTGAGTGGACTCCCTGAGCCCGCGGGTTCGAGACCTGCCTGGGCAACTTGGCGAGACCTCATCTCTACAATAAATCAAAATATTAGCCGGGCGTGGTAGCGCGCACCTATAGTTCCAGCTACTTGGAAGGCTGAGATGGAAGGATCTCCGGAGCCCAGCAGGTCAAGGCTGTGGTGGCTGGGAGCGGCCACTGCACTCCAGTCTGGGTGACAGAGTGAAACCAACTCAAAAATAAATAAATAAATAAAATAAAAAAGGTCTTGCTCTATTGCCCAGGCTACAGTACAGTGCTGCAATCACAGCTCACTGTAACCATGAACTCCTGGGCTCAAGCACTCCTCCCACCTCAGTCTCCCAAGCAGCTGGGACTACAGACACTTGCCACCATGCCTGCCTAATTGTTTTTATTTTTTGTGGAGACAGGGTCTCACTATGTTGCCCAGGCTGGTCTCAAACTCAACTTGAAGCGATCCTCCCACTTCATTTTCCCAAAGCGTTGGGATTAGAGGTATGAGCCACTGCACCTGGCCTGCTCTGTCTTTGAAGGCCAGATCAGGAGAAGCAGCTACCTCTCCCTCACCCTCACTGCCCCAGGCCCCACCCAAGACCCACCTCTTCTGAGTGGGTGACACAGTGTAGACTTCTCTCCTCCATACTCTTACCCACAAAGGTGCCCCTTCTCTGTCCACCGAGGTACCTTCATCCCATGATGGCACTCAGCAGAGGCCTTTGGGATCTGCTCCCAGCCGAGCACCCCCAAGGGCAGGAAGCCCCTCTTCTGATGCACCTGCAACACTGAGAACAGGTGCAACGAAGGGGACCCACGGGGTGGATCTGCCTCCCCAGGCCTGCATGAACGCACATCAGTACCAACAGCTCATGTAGGCACATGGGTGTGTGTGGACGCCTCACCACAAGGGAGGAAGGGAACGGGCGTCACAGTCTTCAGAAAACCAAGCCCAACACCTCCAAGAGCCACAGCTCGATTGTGTTTGAAAAGCTGCCACAGCAGCTCCCTGAGCATGTGGGTCCCCCTGCCTGGAAGCTGACCTTTTCTGATGACTCAGACTCCAAGAAGTGGCTGTGCTGCTGCACGCTGCGTGCCAAGCTCTGTCCCTGCTTTTCAGGTTTTCTGTCTTCTCCCCCACCCTCCACCCGGCATGGCATCTGCTTGGGTCCTAACTGTCCGTGCCCCTCCGCCCCGGCCTCCCTGGACCGGCCGCTTCTGCCCTGCATTCCCCGTCCCCAGTAGCCGGGTGAGTTGCAGCTGTGCACCCGGCGACAAGCCCCAGCACTCACATGGTGAAGTTCTCCTCCAGAAAACAGCGGTTGCGCAGCAGGCCCGCCCAGAGCTGCACGCCTATGATGCCAAAGATGAAGAAGACGAAGAAGCAGAGCAGGAGGACGTTCCCCAGCATGGGCAGCGTGTCCAGCAGAAGATTCACCAGGATCCGCATACCTGGAAGAGTGAAGGGGCGGGGGCTGTCAGGCAGGCAGCAGAGGCCCCAGAGAGGAACACAGAGAGAGCATCACAGAAGACTGGGGACACTCAGCGGGGGCTCCTTGCTGCTCCCAGTCGCTTGGCCACCAGATGCTCTGTCTCCTTCATCTCTGCTCCTCCACCCAGAAAGAAATGGCTCTGGGCCCCGCCTGACACCAGATTGTGAATGAACAAGCAGGCGTTTGTGGAGTCGTTTTTTTTTTTTTTTGGAGTCAGAGTCTCACTCTGTCCCGGCTCATTTTTAAAACGTATTTATTGTAGAAATGAGGTCTCGCCAAGTTGCCCAGGCTGGTCTCGAACCCCTGGGCTCAGGCAATCCTTTTACCTCTGCCTCCCAAAGTGCTGGGATTACGGGTGTGACCACCGCACCTGGGCTTGCGGAGCACCTTTTCTGTGCCAAGTGCTCTTCTGGGGACCTGCACAAATATCACCTCCTCCAGTCTTCATGACGACTCTGTGAGGTTGGTGATATTATCCCTGCTTTATAGAGGAGGCAACTGGAGGGTCAGGGAACTGAAGCTACTTGCCCAAGGTCACACAGCTAGGAAGTGGCAGGGTCTGGACGTCAGTGTCCTGACGCCACATCTAGCCCTCTTTCCACAACCCCCTTGTCCCCAGAGGCCTGGGATCAAGGCAAGGCTCATCTCAGTATGCCCAGTACCTGCACAGAGTGGACACAGTAGGTGCCCAATGAATGTGTCCTGAGTGGCCTTCATCTCTGGGGTAATCACGGGTTGCCCTTGACCCTGTCAATACACGCCCAGCCCCACTGCATGATGGGACCAGGCAGAGCCCCAGAGCCACCTTCAGAAGAAACACTGGAGAGAAGGACCACACAAGTGTCTGTGGCCCCAAAGAAGGTCAAGAGCTGGTGGGTCACCCTTGAGAGCACCCCCTCAAGATACTGGGGGGCCCACACTGCCCAGCTTATACCTCTCTCAATGTGCACCTGTGCCTGGCAATACCAAATTATTTGAAGTTCCCTAAACCTACCATGGGACGCCACACCTCTGGATTTTTATCCTTGCTGTTCCCTCTTCCTGGAACACCTTGTGCCTTTCTTGTGCCTAGCAAGCCCCTATTCAGCCACCACAGCCCTGTTAAAAGCTCTTTCTCTCTGTGATGCCTTCCATACTCTTTTTCATCCCATTGCAGGTAGAGTGAATCCCTCTCTCTTCCACTCTGAGCAATCTCAGCACCTCTGACCTAGCCTTGGCTGCCCAGTACAGTTGTGCAGGTTATATACTCACATCTAGTTTTCTTCTAGCCTTAGTGTCTAGTTGTCTGCTTACCCTTCTGCCTCTTCCACTGGACTATAATGTCCTGGGGACAGGACACGTGTCTAAGTCACCTCAGTGTTCCCAGAACCCAGCAGGTCCTGGCCCAGAAGACAGACTCGGCTAACATTTGTTGAATGACTAATGATGAATGAATGATGTAATAAGTCATGGGGAGGGAACGGAAGACTGGAAAGAGGAAGATAAGAGGCTGATGATAAGTGGAACAGCAGCCCTATCCAGATTGTTACTTATTCCAGGGGTGATGCTGAGGTGGTTATTAATGAGGGTACTTATTTGGAATTTGCATCAAAACTCTGTGTGGAGTAATTTCCAATCAATAATTAATGCCCACCCTGTCCTCCCTCCCCACAAAACTAGGTCAGCCTCCTCTCAGGAAAGACAGTGGGGGCTCCCTGGCAGGCTGCATCACCCCACGGAGAGCAGACCCGGGGGAGGGCTCCGTGCCCCACCTCCCCAGCCCCAAACAGGGAGCAAGGGGTGTGTGGAGGGAAGCGGAGACAGCGGGCACCCTGTCATCCATCCACACGGATCCACTGACTGATGGAGGTCCATTGCGGGCCTGACTGGTGCTCCATCATTCATTCATTCATTCACTTATGAAACACATACTGAATGCCTGCTGCATACTAGGCATGGAACTGGGCACACAGGGATCCAAGGACAAACAAGACCTGTTTTTTGCCCCCTCAGAGCTCACAGCCTAGCAGCAAGGAGACAGGGGACCACAGTGTCCAGCAACAGGACCGTGCCTGGGGAGTGGGGACAGCTCTGGACACACTGGCTGGACGCTGCAGGAGGCAAGGAGCCTGCCGCACGGGGGGTGGGGGAGAGGACTGGTGCGTGCCAAGGCCCCAAGCCTGGGGCGGCTGAAGAAAGGGTGCGGGGCCCTGTGACTGGCCAGGGGGACCCGTCACCGGGACTTCTAGGTAGGCAGAGCCCCTGATCAGCTCTGGGCTTTAAGGGGAGGTGAGCCCGGAGGCGGGGCAGGAAGCCTGGGAGGAGAGGCTGGACCAGAAAGGCCTGGGGAAGACGGCTCTGCCATCCAGCCTGGCTCCGAAATCCAGCCTGGCATGCGCCCGGTCTCCACTCGTGGCTGCTCCCTCGGGCCAGCCTTTGTTGCTCAATTAATTACATTTCTCTTGTTCTCAGGGATATTGAGATTCTGAAAGGCTTCTGCAAACCTGCCTGGCTGGCTTCACTGAAGGGCAGCCCCATCCCTCCTCCCTCTCTCTGCCCAGCGGGGGCCACAGCTCACTTCCCGGCCTTCCCTGGGGCCCAGGGAGTCCCAGGGCCACAGAGCTAGGGCATAATTAGCTAATTAGGGACTTGGCACGATTTCATCCCATCCGTGCCGGGGAAAGGGGCCGCAGGATTAGGGAGTCAGGGAGGATGCCAAGAGACCCTGGTTCATTCCCTTTCATGCCCACAGTCCAGTAATTAGCCAAGACAGGTCGGACGGTTACACTCTACCCTCAGTCCCCCTGGCGCCAGTCACGGGAGGTAGAGGCGGGAAAGGAGAGGCGAGGAGAAGAAAGCAAAAGCGGCGAGACCGAGAGAATGGAGACAGAGAACAGAAGGGAAAAGGACAGCGAAGGAGACAGACAGACAGCAGGGAGGACCAAGTGAGAAGAGGAGAGACTGGGAGAGAGGGATGGCTGGATACATGGGGGGGGTGTTGCCTTCAAGTTGTTATCCGCCTCAAGTCATCCTTTCTACCTCATCTCCCTCCTCCTTCAGGCATTCTTCCGATTCGCACCCCCGGCTCTTCATGAAGCTCTCCTGTCTCTAGTTTCCCCAAGGCTCTCACTCATCCTGAGGATGGGCTTACCGGGTTCTGTGTTCTTCAGCCTAGAGCAGGAGCCAGGCAGACCCCAGTGGGGGCAGGCCACAGATGGCCCCAGGTGCGTGGCTGAGGCCTGCCTCTGCCAAGGGGAAGAGGACCCCGGAGTCCTCGAGACATCCGAGGCAGCTCCCATCCCAGTGAGCACCAGAGCACAGACCCCAGATGGGATACCTGGGCCCAGTCCCAGGTGGAGGCCTTGAGGCAAAGCTTGTCCTCTCTGGGCCCCAGGGGTGTCATCTACAGATGGGACAGGGGCTCCTGTCCAGCCAGCCTCTTAGGAATACCACAGGGCCAGGATGCCTCTGAGAGCAGAGCCTCCTGAAATCAGATGTCCCAAACAGCCCATGCACCTCACGGAGACAGTGCAAATCCTTATCCTCCCCCTCCCATCCTCTCCTGCTCATGGATCGCCCAGTTTGGCCCTACCTCCCTCCATGCTCCATGCCACACCTGAACCTGCAGCTCCAGCCAGACCAGCAGCTCCCAGCATCCCCAGAGCCCCCTCTGCACACACTCTGCCCCACCTGCAAGGTCTTCCTCTGGGACTGCTATACTGCCCAGACAGTTCCTGGTGCTCCTCCCAAGGCAGTAGCCATGCTGATGTGGGCCTCTGCACCCAAACAGGCCCGCCTCCTGTCCTGGGAGGCCTAGCTCCTGTGTCACCTGCAGGCCCTGGCTCATACTTGGAGGACCATCTCCTGCCCCTTTTGGATCTTGGCTGACTGGCCACCTCTTCTGGTGCCCCTGCCATGATCTGCCATAGCCCATCCTCCCTTGATTACAGCCCTTGTTTCACTGTGTGGCCTTTGCAGGTTCATGGCTCTGACACCCCCCACCCCGCCCCAGAAACCAGACATGCTCTACATGCAAACCCCTTGGGGGTGTTCTCTGTTCTCCAATCCAGGAAGCAGCCCCTTAGAGAATGACAGCTTAGGCAAATAAAGGAGCAATAGGTGCATGGCTGGGCCCACTGAACAAGTCTTAATGAGGGTGTACTATGAGCCAAGCACTGTTCCAGGCTCTGCAGATACATAGGTTAAAAAAAAAAAACAGGCTGGGTACAATGGCTCATGCCTGTAATTCCAGTACTTTGAGAGGCCGAGGTAGGATTGCTTGAGCCCAGGAGTTTGAAACCAGCCTGGGCAACACAAAGAGACACCACCTCTACAAAAAGAAAAAAGAAAAAATTGGCTGAGCATAATGGTAGGCGTCCGTAGTCCCTGCGGCTGAGGCGGGAAGATCACTTGAGCCCAGGAGGTCGAGGCTGTGGTGAGCCATCATCGTGCTACTGCATTCCAGCCTAGGTGACAGAATGAGACCCGGAATCAAAGTAAATAAATAAAATAAAAACCAAAGCAGACCAAGCTCCCTATCCTTGTGAAGTGTACATTCTGAGTAGGGGCAGGGAGAGACGGGCAGCGGACTACAAAGGAGACCTCTAAGTCATCACCCTCGTATGCAGGCCCCAGTTGTATGAAAACAAGAAGAATGGGGCACAGGGGGCAGGGAGTGCTGGGTCAGGTGGGCATTAAATAGGAGCCAGGAAAGGCAGGATGACGCTAAGAGACTCAGAGGAGGTGAGGCGGACGGCCAAGAGGTTCCCTAGGGAAAGAGCCCCCCAGGCAGGGGGAACAGCCTGGACGGAGGCCTGGAGGTGGGAGTCGGCTGGGCATGGCCACAGTAAGAAGACCCATGTGGCCAGAGGGAAGCGCAGCAGGGAGGAGGGCGGAGGGGAGACAGGGCCAGGGTTTGAAGGGCCGCCCTGCAACCGCTGTGGGACTCAGGCTTCCCCAGAGTGCCACGGAAGCCACCAG